TGTTATTTTTATGGAATACTTATTCCATGGGACTGCAGGATTTGTTCTGGAAGTATTTCACATATGGAATTTAGATTCTTGTTGCATTAACTTCCTTCTGTCATTTCTAGTCGATGAATACTGATTGATTTTTTTTAATTGTTGCAGCCCTGAGCAATATTTCCTTTGCAGGTTAGTGAGCCACTTTCTTGCCTTCTATTTAAATGTTGTCTCTGCTTGCACTTGCTTCTTTTTCAGATACGAACCTGAAGCTTTACTTTCAGTCGTTTGTGTTTGACTCAAATTTTGTGGTACTAACCTCTGAACAGTCCGTTTAATATTCTTTGATCTACACTCGCTTTTCAACATCTTCACTCTTTGATATTTCTCTCATCATTGAAAATCTTCCCTGATTGATTGGGAGAGGGAAGCCTAATGCTTTATTTCTGTCCACAAAAGATTCTTTTTTGGCTCTCTTTGGCCGTATGCCTCCACTAGCAGGTTGTTTCTGAAAACTCTATTTATCCTAGTGGAATTTGGCTTTACGCAGTGTTTGTGAGGATTATTGCAATAGGGTTGCTTTCTGGGCAAAAAAAAAAAAGAAAAAAAAAGAGGAGGTTGAGAAGAGTATATTTAGTGTCTATATTTACCCTTTTTACATGTTTTATTGCCATGCTTTGATTTAACTAGATTTGAATGATTAATTTTCTTCCCAATTGACGTAAAATGCTTCTTTTCATTCACCTATCATAATCATATCAGGCTCCATTCAACGCATATGATAATAAGAAACCCCAAAGAATCTTAATATTAGATGTGAAACAGGAGATAATGTTGTTCCTCTGGAGACTACCCTTTTTCCTAGATGTTAAACCAATCCCACAAAATCATCATGTTATTAGCATAAGGTTGTTTTGTGTTATTTGTATGATGTCTCTCTCATGTTTCACAGATTGTGCAAAGCGTGATCCTGATGTTAGTGAAGACACACAGAACAACTTTGCAGAGCTATTGTCCGAGGAACTAAAGCTGCGAGAATCCGAAGCATTGGAAAAACAGCAGCATTCAGACGTGGCATTGCTCGATGCCAAGAAGATGACATCTCAGTATCAGAAAGAGGCAGACAAATGCAATTCTGGGATGGAAACATGCGAGGAGGCGAGAGAAAAGGCCGAAGTTTCTTTATTGGCACAGAAGAGACTGACTTCTGTATGGGAGCTTAGGGCACGACAAAGGGGATGGAAAGGGGGAGTTTCCAAGTCTCGCGGGAATGTACAGGCTATATAACTTCCCAATGCGATCCATCAAATTAACACAGGAAGGTGCATCTTTGTAGGAACAAGTTCATGATTTCTTCCGTGGCAAGCTGCCTTGCTAGCATCCCAAATTGGATTTAATAGAGGGTCATTTCATTTTTCTCCAAGGAAGCATCTTTTGTTCTATAAGGTGCCATCTCAATATTTGACCAATATATTTACTTGTTTGAAGTCACTTGTAAACCAAGTAATCTTCCACGTGCACATCAGAAACTGGAATTGTATTAAAGATAGTTTGGAAGTTAATGATTCCAGTTGATTATGACACGATTTTTTCGACATCCTTTTTCTTATCTAAGCAATCTGGCCCGACACGCGCACACATTGCACATAGAAACGTTTGGTTAATCTGTAGATTGTCATTATTACACTCCTTAATCCAGTTCTCATCAGAATCTATCCTGGCCGGATGGGTTTTTCTTGTGGACAGCCGCTTTTCTGTTCACCGAGTGCACTCGAGGTCGACAGAAAGAATATCGAAAACCCACCAAATGCATTGAATCGTAAGATGAAAAGAAGACTGTGAACTGCTTCTTGTTCAGTCAGATTGAATTCTGTTTGATCTCTGTGTGTAACTTCTTTGTTTTCTTTTTTAGACAAACTGCGCCAGCTTCTTGTAGTCTCCTTTGACAAGCCAGAAAGGGTGTGAGAAAGAATGGAGGAAGAGTTCTTTGAGAGGCTTAGAATGCCGATGTTGACAGTCGGAAGGAGCTGAATACCGAGCCATTTGTCAGCATAATATGGCCGGAGCTGGTGATCTCTGGTGAGATCGAGAGGTTTTCTGTGACATTGCAGCGAGGAAGCTAAAAAAAGAACTGCTGCATGGGGAGAAAGGCACTGGCCGAGCTGGATTTGGCAACCTTGGCGTCAATCTGTCCCACTCCCACATGTCGTCTAGTGCACTTACCAGTGACGGTACCCAAACGATTAAGCTTCGTTCCAAGAGTCGAGAGAGAGAGAGTTCTTGATCTGTAAATTTCAATAGAACTTGGAAATGTCTCTTTGTCCAGGGCCACATAGGTTTCCAGGGTGAAAATCCAGGGCAGCAGGGCTCGTAGAACTTTTCTTTTCAGTCCATCTTACTGTTTTTTTAAATAAAATAATTAACAAGGCAAATATTGCATTGGTATTCATCGAAGTTATTAGCGACCCTTGCAAGCTGGCTAGCATTATAGCGAGAAAGTAGAAAACGAGCATGGATATACGAGGACATTGAAATATTAAATAAAATTTATGTTGATGAGTGAATTTAAATATTAAATTTGGTACTGCTACTCAAGTCTAATCATTTGACAAACAGAATATATGGTATGACAAGGTAATTAGCAATAGCTAAACTATAACATCATTATTTTCCGTTAATCAAATAACGGACGCGAAAGGTTTGATCAAATTTTATGTTGTGCATAATTTTATTATAGGTTTAGTGATCACGAGTTGATTAACCCCTATAATCATTGACACGTAGCAATTGAACCATATAATAAGGGTCTGTTCGGTAGTAATTTTGAAAATTGATTCTTTGATCGTTAGGAAAAAAGTGAGCTTCACCCGAGAGAAAAGAAGTAAAAAATTACAGTTGAAATAGTGAAATAACGATCAAAAAATCAATTTTTTAAGATGAAAAATCACTCCCAGACGGGACCTAAATATTGGGGAATCCAAACTTCTTTAATTGATTGGTCAATGAAATTACGTGATAAAATTTTGGATTTTGAGATGATAATAATCTGAGAACAAATTAGAGAAGGCTCCACACGGGCTGGCATTGGTGCTAAAATCAATTTTTTCATAGATCCCGATCACCTTTTTCTGTTTTTCCACGCTCAACATGATGTTATTTTAACTCTTATAATTTTTTGTCAGATACGAGGACAATTGATCTCAAATACTCGAGAAAGTGCAACTTTACTAGACCATCAGAGTGGTCCACAAATTTTAACAAATCTAATTAAGTTAAAACAAAAAATAAATAATAATAATAAAATCGAGTCGAACGATAATCCAATTGCCAAAGTCCCACCACAGCATCACACATAAAGGACTTGTGAACTACGAATCAAGATTTTTCACAATAGTGTGGTGGGTCACATTGCATTGATAAGGACGAAAAATACTACACATAGCCCTTGTTTGAGCCACATTATTTTTATAAAAATGTATTTTTAAATAGTGTATCGATGAAAAATGTATGGTTAAAAAATGAGGATAAGTTTTCGATTTGCTAATCCATCGTCTAGCTGAGGATTAGAGTTCAAAGTTCATGCTAGAAACATGTATCGGCGTGTTTAAATGAAGGAAAAATTATATATACATACTTGATTATGTTTAGGCTCAAAAGTATCGAGATGTGTTTAGAGAAAATCTTAGATGGGTCTCTAACCTTTATGATATGTGCAAACGGACCCCTAACTTTCAGATATTGACACCATAATCCTCGACCTTCGATTAATTTAATAGATCAGGTCCTTGCAGATTAAATCTGGTTAAATAAACGTTACAGTGACGTGTGTATTGTCAAGTTTTACTTCGTAAAGGGCAAACAAGTCAATTTTGAATTTTCATCAATATAGTATTAAGTCCGCATTTGGTTTTGTTAAAAATTAAATTTCTATACATTTTAATAAAAGGTGATAAAATATATTGTTACAAAAATTGTAGATATTATTACATGTATGATTAAAATTAATTATTTACTTAAATTTTTATCAATTTTTTAGCTAAACCAAACGGGACTAAATTGTAATGGAAAATTAAAATCTTATCAGTTATATTATCTAACTCCTAATGTGTAAAGTGGGCCGGGTTACCTGAATTGGGTTGGACTATGTAGAGCATGGTATGTCCCATAGTCCAAACATGGGATAATTATTGCGAGATGGGGCCTTACCGTTATAAGAAATGGGCCTGACTGGGCTTTATACAAGTGGAAATTACGCTTACCATATTTTTAATAAATATTTAGACAATACTATGTAACATTCTTTTCTCAATATATACTGTAAAATCATAGTAAAAACAAAAAAATAAAACATGATAACTAAATCAAAAAGGATAATAATTTAGGTTAACTTAATTTACTCCAAGAAACACGCCCTTAGAGTGATCTATTGATTAATCTAAAATCCATACAATTTTGTCAGTATATCTTCCTCCCAAATCTTCTCCATTCAGAATTGTCTTCCTCCCAAAATCCCCTAAAACATCTTTCACAAATTGATCTTCATGCAAATCTCCCGTAAGTTGTAATCATTAGTAATATCATGCAAAGATTACAAAACATGTTATTTTCACGAATTGTTTAATGCCCAAACATGGAGACATATTACGAGACCAAATTCTGTCCTTCAATTTCTGAAATTGATTCCCAAAATTGCAAGCGTTCAAACCACCCATTCTTATTTAAAAGATTTTATAATATTCAATGACAATTTTTATATATAACCAAATGCAAAAATTTCGATAAATCTATGAATGAAATACAACTTATTGAAAAACATATTTAGTTCTATGACATTATTGCAAGATTTCGACTTCAAATTTTAAAATATTTTATCCAGATTCCACTAGTTCTCACTTCCAGTTGAACGAAAAACTATAACGTGTTTAAGCTATGGATGCCATTGATATTCTTTATCCATCCTCAGGCTTTTGAATTTCTTTTCTTGGAAGAGACATTAAATGTGAGGCTTGAACTATCCATTATTCAAAATTTTTGAGTTACAAATTGTTATTTGGCTTCTATTATTAGAAGTTAGTATTTTTTTATTATATTTCATATATAAAAAAGTATTTTTAGTTATTTAAACATTACGAAGTAAAACATGAAATAATACTTTGTAATAATGCATATATGAATTTTTCCGTTTTTACAATATGCCCTGTTCGGCTTCAAATTTTTAAAACTTGCTTTCAATTATTCATTTTATGGATTTCATAACTTTTTTCAACTTTTGAACCACACATTTCATCAACTTTATCAATATCTACTAAAAATCTTATTTTTAGCCATACCAAACATATTTATATGTACAATCAGGAAATTTTACTACAATTTTATTTTATTTTATTTTATTTTTATATACAATTATGAGAGAGAGACCACCTTACATGTTTCCAATTTCTTGTATCCTATAAAAAGTTCACAATAAAGTGTCCACTAACTTTCCTTCTGTCAAATGCTCACTTTTCTTTTTGGAGAGTCAAGAGACTGAAAGGTTTAGGTTTTGTTGAAGAAACTTCGTTTGAATAAAGAAAACAAAAGTCAATACAAACTCAAATTATACCAATTCTCGTACTGTGTATTCAATTAAAAAAAATGAAGTGTTTATAAGCTTAGAAATAACACAAGGAAAGTTTAGCCATCCCCACCAGTCTGGCTTATTTGTCGTCCAGTCTTCCTGGTTGTGGAGGTGCAGTCTAAATATTTATTTATCTCTTTATACCAAAAAGTGATGCACCATAGAGAGAGAAAGAGAGTGGGGAATAGTGAATTGGTGATGTGAAGCTTTACAGGTTGTTGTTGTTTATGCCCAATGAATTTGCTTTAAAGGGATTTCACGGGAAATACGGAAAAGAGAAGTCCGCAGTAGCATCAGATCCCTGCCATTGTGAAAGTGCACCAAACAAGACAGACGTATCGTGTGTGGAGACATTTCAAGTTGTTATTTTTTTATTTTTTTTTGATATCCAGATATCCCAACTTACATCAGATTAAATCCTGGACCTTCAAGATCCATGCCCCTAGAGCCTTGGAGGGGGTAAATCGCGGGTTATGCCTCAACTGGATCACAAGTTCCCCCATTGACTGTACACTTCTGCGCACAAGAGACCCTCTTCCACAGTGATTGCTCCATACCAAATATTTGGCCGCAGGTTCCCATCAGGAATCGAACTCTCCACCCTGCAGCTGGAAGCAAGCCAATGTTGATTGATCCACCAGTTGAGCTGTGCCTCGGGGGCAGACATTTCAAGTTAACTCTTTATGAACTTAGACAAAGTAATGTTTGACATTATACTGTTTATTTTATGAAATTCCAATATTTCGACACCACGATTTTCCATTTTATAAGTGCACTATCTATACTATTTACTTATCGTTATAACTTATACTCATATTATCAACGTTATTTTCATCTTTCATGAACTAGCTCATATTGTTCTTGATAATGGTTGGCATTCAAAAGCAGCGTTCTAAAAAGCGTAAAACTTGTCGAAGTGTGGAAGTCAAGTTTCGGCCTAGGCGAGGTTTAGGTGTGAAAAAGGTTTTATTATTTTAATTTTTTTAAATCAATCTAAAAATTATTTAATAATCAAAACGTAAAAAAGGGTTTTAAAAAGAGCGCCTAAGGGCGACTAGACGCAGAAAAAATAAAAAAGCAAAACATAAAAATAAAATAAAATAATTAAAAAGGCGCGAGGTTAGACGTGCCTAGAGGGTGCTTTTTTGAACACTTTTCAAAAGATAGCATAAAAAGTACAAAAGTGATTTAAGCCTTTGTTTGAACCTTATTTAGAGTTAAAAAAAAAAAAAAAAATTTATATATCATCAGTGCTTCGTATTTTTTATTTCAGCATATCGATTTACGCTTACGCCTAGCTCAGGTAATGGAGATACTCTAAGCATTCCATTAGTTATGTATCAACGTTCCAACAAAAATACTTGTATGCATCAAAAACCCCAGGTTCAGCGGGGTAAATGTTTTAATTTACATAAAATATTATTTTATTAAAAAATGTAAGCTTGAAAATACGAAAGAAAAATGTATTTTAAAATTAATAGAACCCAAGCATGGTGTAAATACTTGTCCTTTATTTTCAAAGACCATACATGGGATCGGGCGCCACTTGGACATTATGCACACCGTTATGGTGTACATTATGTCAAAGTAGAATAATCCTATTTTCAAACACTTTAACAGAATTTTTGGATGAAAAACGTCATTAACGACAATACATGTTAATTAATGGAAGATCGATAACAAGAATGAGCTAAAAATAGACAATAAATAAAGGCTAAAGACGAATTAAAATATTGTTCATTTATATAAAGTCATGGTGTGAATATAGTAATTATATTTTCTAATGGAACGCAACTCGAGAAACACGTTATATTTATTTTTAAAATTTTCACATTGAGAATCAACCACTCACTATTTCATATTAGTAATTGCTACAAATTAATCCTCCTTAGACCTTACACATGGTTAGACTCCACACCATATGACCCACCAATACAGATATGTATCATGCAGTCTATCTTTCCCATGTGAGGTTGCCGCAAACTGGGGACCCGCCCTTTTCCTCCTTCCCATTTCCTCTCCATTGTTTACAGATTCTTATGAATAATAATGGGTCCCGTGATCACATTGCCGAAAATTATGGCCATTAATTTTTGGGTCCATTCTTACATACATTGCAATGCACCCCCAAAATGCGCGTGGGGTCACTTGTTGATCAAAATGTCGTAAAATAATTAATGAAATAACCCTCCGATAAACCGGGTCGAGCCTTTCAACCTGCTCCCAGTACAATTTCGTTACTTCTTTCCACATCATCTTGTAAAGGTGTCCTTCAGTATTGGTCACATTCTATCTTTGGAATCAAATTCCCATTACCAACTGGACAGAATTTCTAATGACAGATTGCTGTTCAAAGCAAGAAAAATGCATTGAGCTTCTAATGGAAGCTTGTACAAAAGCAAGATTCAACCAATTAGGAATAACTAAAATGTTAAATCAAACCAGACAGAATCTCAATCTCGATATCAGAATCCATCAAATAAAGGTAACTATACACTAAAGAACGACGAGATACTTTCAACTGAATAACACATGTACTCTTTCTGATTAGTGAATAGAGCCTGGAAGCCCTTGAATGTACATTATCAGTAAAAGATTACAACTTGAACAAAGCAAAAACAACTTCACTCACTTACATAGCTTCACATGATCAAACGAATGATGATAAATATAAAGAAGAATTAAACAAGGATACTCCCTAAAAAAAACGCATCCATGCCATTCTCTAAATTAAAAACATTTTGGTTTTCTTTTTTGATCTAATATAGTATATTACCGTAAGTTGAAATTTCAAGTATACCAAAGTGTGTTTGTTTCCTGTGCAGCGTAGTTTCCCCGTTGACAGTTAGAAAAAACGAATACGAACTCCTGCATAAGAAATGTACAATAACGAGTATTAGAAGATAGAAACATAATTATAGAATAAACGAGAAAAGTGACACCAAGCAAGAATTTAAAAGTTTGCTGCAACACTCCGTGATTTTGCTATGAAACTAATTATTCCTCAGTGTCAATCGATCCGTTTATGGTACTTCAGTCTCCTCAGCAAATCGACTATTATGCTCATTACAAAGTACACTAGTTTAGAGGCACTAATCATGAATTCTAGGACATGGAATTTTGCCATTAGAGCTCCAAAAGATAGAAAAACAGCATATCATTGTCATGGGCCCCCTATGAAATGAAAGTGAAGAACATGATGATTATATAAATTAAGCATTTCAAAGGAAGATTAAGCCCCCCAAAATGATTATTGTCAATTCTATTTCAACAATGCTTACGGAAACATCCAAATGAAGTGGGCCTTCCGTTTGAACTCAAGGCCGCCGATCTGGAGCCTGGTGAAAAGATCTTTGATGAAAAATGAAAGGTCTTCCTTCGAGGCGTTTGCAGTAGGGTGAGGAAGAATAATAGCAGTAGATTGATGGAGAACCCCTGAACGTAGTAGAAGGTCGAGGTCGTGAATTTGCTTGGACAACCAACCAGCGGCCATGTCGAGGTCCGATTGCATAAGGAGCTTGCCGGGATTGAACGATGGATCGCAACATTGATGGCAAAGGGTCTGTGTACGATAAACAGTGGATAGAATATTCGGAAGGAGAGAATGGAGCAACGGGTTGTCAGACCAGTGCTGGAAGTACGAGATTTCGGATAGGAGGGATTTCAAGGAGGCAAGCTTTGTTCGGAGGATTTGCCACCGGGATGCAAAGGAGATTATGGAGAGAGTCGAGGGGAGTAGCTGACCCAGAAGCTGTATTATCTTGTCAATTGTTTCCGCGGGGGACGGCGGCTCTGACGGTGATAGCGGCGGTGGAATGGCGATGGAATGCATTTTGGCTTTATTACTTTTAGATTGTGGGAAAATGCATGTGGAATGACAGAAGAGTAGAGAGCTGTAAAGAAGAGGAGAAATGGAGGGAATGGCGTCGACAGGAAGCCCGTGGAGGTGGGGCTGGGAGTGACAAGAGAATGGTGAAAAGTAAAGCGCACTCTTTCAAAAGCATTTTGCCAACTGGTGACTCGTGAACCCTATCGTACGTCCACGTTATATGTTCTGGGCATATTTTAGTGGTGCAAAAAATAACGGTGAGATATACTCAGTCTTGTTGACAGTCGTAATGTGAAGATTTGATTCTTGAAACATGGATTGGAACTCGTTGTGGGCACCAGTGTATAGGCAGCTCTTGTTCCTTGACCTAGAGCACATCTCACGATTAACCTCTCTTTCGATACTTTAGGGACGGGACGGTGGGAGACTCTTAATGTTGGGGTTCAACATTTAAAAATGGCTGACATATTACTTGACATAATGTCACGTAGTTACCTATTATTGAATTATTTAAAATACAGTAAATTTTTTCAACACTAATTATGTCACATATTTTCTAGTAAAGTAGCATTATTCCGTTAAAATTTGGTCTTTAAAATAATAATAATAAATAAATAAAAATAGTAGAACGATATTATATACACACGTCATAAAATCCACTCAAAAGTCAACTCACAATATTTTGGACGTCGAATAGGTAAGAAAGAAACAGAGTAGGAAATGATTCACTCGACGTCCGAAGTATCACAAAGTTATTACGGCAAATTAAAATTGGGTGACTCAATTTAAAATTTTCGTAAAAGTTTTAAGTTTGGTGACCAAAATAAAAAATAAAAAAATTAACCTGGTTGAAGTTTGTATCACTCCCAAACTTTAATAAGGTCATGGTCGAGCTTCATTATTTTTATTTTTTTACAAACTCATTTCAATACACATTTTTTCAATAAAATAGTTTTACTCATGAATTTAACAATTTTTCTATTTTTTAATCACACATTCTTCGAAATATTCACGTTTTATAAAATATATTCTCAAAAGTAGGCTCAAGCAGGGCTAAATGTAGAGAATAAGATTTTCTTTCACAATTTTTAATTATGCGCTGTTATTAATTTTTTGGGTAATTACGGACAAAACATACTATGAAGAAAATTGGGAAGATTAAGGGAACCCATTGTCTTATCATATTTATTGCTTGTTTGATAGAGATAGCTTAAAAACTTGAGGTCAAAGTCAATAATTATTTTTAATTATAAATTTATGTCCCGTTTGGCGCTTATTTTTGTAAGAATGAGAATGAAAAATATAGTGATTATGGGACCCATACAAAAAATAAAAAGTCAAATATGATGACTTGATATGATGGATAATGATCATATTTTTCATTTTTATAGCCAAAGAATGAGAACGAAACGGGGGCTCAATAAAACTCACAATTTTCGTCAACTGAGAATTTTTTTTTTGAAAGAGCTTTAGATAACAATTTTGATAGAAAATTGATTAAGCCGCCATTTATTTTCCATTATTTGTCTATTAAAATGAAAAATATGATCGTTATCCATCACATAAAACTATTATATTTGACTTCATATCTTTTGTGTGGGGCCCGTAACGGCTATATTTTTTATTCTCATTTTTACATTAATGTGTACCAAACGAGGCCTAAATATGTAATTGAAAAGTTAATAAAAAATGTGAATTCCATGATTAAAATTAATTATTAATTTCACCTCAACTTTTAAGTTAGACCAAACTGGCACATATAATGTTGATATACAATATGCTTAGCTTACGCATTTTTTTTACCATGAATAACATTTGTTAAATTATGTAATTTCTTAAGATAACATTTGAAAAGGTAAAATACTACGAATTGTCAAGCAATTCAAATTTCTATTGGCCAATTTTGACTTAATTCGCATTTAGTATCATAAAATAAGTATAATTTTGTTTTCTCTAGCAAAAGTTGGATAGTCAAATCCAGTTTCTAACAAAACATATACTCAGTCACTCCAAAAAAGAAAAGCAAACATCTGACAAAAGGAAAGTGAGTAAATACTTTATCGTTATGCGAAAGGTGTCTTTGACTTGTAACCATTGTTATTAGGACGTGTTTGGCATACTTTAAAAACACTCAGAATAAGCTAATGTCCATATTTGATTCTTTCGTGAAAGCGAAGTCAAATCATCTTCGTAGTTTTGGCATTAGCTGTTAGGAAAGAAATTTTGATTTCTCGCAATTTCTAAGAAGTTAGAACGTAATTTCAATTGGAGAAATCTCGTGTCTTATGTTTCAAAGTTGGAGAATTTTTATTTTGGGCCTCTCGAGTTGATTTCGATATTTGACAAGTTTAGATTATTCACGACTAAAAGCTACTTATAAAGAAGATATTGACGATGAAAATTTAGTCTTGAAAAGTCTCTCGACGGTCCCTTTTTAAGCAAAAGCGGAATCAATCGTGAAATTTCTTGTAGTGATAGTTGTATTACATATATGGTTGCAACCATTGATCAGCGTCAATGAAAGAAACATTGAGAAATGGAGAAGCTTGTGTGTCATTGAGTCTCTGGACATAAGGTGCCCTAAATGTCAAATTAGCTCCTGGACCTGAGCAATTGTATTCTCCATAAAAGATGCTCCTATTTATAAAACAAACAAATAATCAGATTATTTTCTTGTTAAATTAAGATTTCCAATAGTAATGCATACCAAGCATATCCTAAATGTGAATTTAGATGGATACTTACTGGTCTCTAGTAGGGTCATTGAAGTCGTTCCATCCCTCGGGAGCAATTATATCGGTCATACTTGTGAGAGAAAATACGACGGTAGAGAATGGCCTCCATGCTCGTCCAAGCCAAATTCTTCCCGTTCCTCCCACGCTACAATTCACAAAAGCAAAGCCACTATTTTCGTCTTTGGATGCCCGACCATGGGCAGTCACTGCCCCATTGATGACTCTTGCTCCAACCGGGACTGGGCTGGCGATAGAGATTATACGACAATTCTACAAAAAATTAATGTGCATACATATATGGTTAACTTTGATCCTTGATCCTTTACCCTTCTCAAAACGATGTCACGGCTTGGATTCATTGAAGATTGTTCAAGTAGATTAATGTGTCTTCTTGGTTTAATTTTTATGTTCTCAAAGAAGGTAATATCTTCAAATCTTAACATGACCTATTTATGAAATTTTATACATTTGTGAACTTGAATATCAGCTAAATTCAAATTAACAAATGGGTCTTATCTAATCGTCTTAAACTTTTATATGAAATGGTTTCATATCGAGATCTACAAATTTTTGTGCATTCCTCGTAGCACAATCGTGTGAACTACGAAAATTATTATCCATATTTTTCATCATTCGTGCATGAAGAGAACCACAAGTTAAATGCATTCAGGATTGGCAATAACGTCTTGCACTCGACTTTCCTCGGAATGTAGGAAAAATATAGGGTTGTCATAAGATCAAAATTTTAGTTTTTTTGACGGTCTAAATTACCATACGTAAGTTGGTAAGATCGTCATGAACATGCAGGTAATTACTAAAAGGTGGTATGAAGAGATTTTTTCAAAATAAATAAAAATCATAAAAACAGATTAATTACCTCATAAAATGACTTTCCATTGCCAAAGATGAAATCTATTGAACCTTGGATATAGCAATCCTTGAAGTAATGTCGACCCCTATCGTCGTGTAGTGTGTCTTGTGCTCCAAAGAAACCGCAACCCCAGAAGGCTGCTTGATCTCCTCCTACTCTAATGGCGACAGCTTGTGCTCCGACCACACCCGGGCCAGGCATCGGAGCCACGTTCTGCTCGAATTAGATCATAATTATTGAAGTTTTATTGCATTAAACTCCCTCTTATTTACTATGTTTAATTTGAGAAATATTTGATACAGATAGTTCGTCCTTTTCCATGCTTCGATTTGGTCGTTTGTCTTTAATTTGTTCTAAATTAGTCATTAATTTTAAGTTTTATTTCATGTTGATAATTAAACTTTGATTTGTTTCAAATTAATCACCAAACATTAAATTTTGTTTCGCATTGATCATTATATTCGTCTCCATTTAAAAAATAATATTATTAAATCTGATGTGTCAAACGAAAATGTACTTCTTTGAGAACTAATGATGTTGATTCGGGTAGACAATTTATAAGCTGCGACCGTCCCATAACAAAATTTATAATTGTGTAATTAAATTTGAATGATCAACTTGAAACGAACTCTTAAAATTTGATGATTAATTGGGAACAAATTGAAATATGTCTATAAGTTGAGTGATCAATCGAACTTTTTGCTCGACATACGATATACGTACCATAAAACTTATGTTGTTGGCAATGAAGTTGGTAGCAAAAACTTGCACGGAAGCACTGTAGAATGTGCCATGAGAGGAGTTTGCTGTATCATTCCACACAATTGCTGTTGAAGTATAGCCTTGCCCTTGAAATGTGATGTTAGGTTTTGTTTTTGGCACTATAACTTTCTCACTGAATTAATCATCAAATAATAAAAAAATATATTAAACAATTCAATAATTCCATGAGGCAAAAAAAAAGCAATAAAAAACTCACAAATAAATCCCAATATTGATCCAAACGATGGTTCTTTTGGGACTCAAAACTCCTACAGCATCAACTGCAGCTTGAACTGTGGTAAAGTTACAGCAACCATTACGGTCGACACAGATGAACGACGTCGTGTTGGTATCGGGAGGAGGAATATCGGGCGGAAAATCATCACAAATCGATTTTATTATTTTCTTTCCATCATGGTGATGGTGATGGTGATGGTGTGAGATTAGAGTTGAAAAAAGAGGTAATGAGAATGTTTTAGGGTTAAAATTATTGAGATACTCGAAGAACAAGACATGTAGAGCCAAGAAATGGTTAGATGCTAAGGCTGCAATGAAAAGAGAGAAACAAATGAGCTTGGGATTCATGTTTTTTTTTGGAGAAATTAAGAATGTAAGATGATGGAGATGAGATCTTTTCCTATTGAATTGCTTCTTGAAATATATGTATACATATGCATGCGTGTAGCACTTGAAGTACAAGGATGGATGGCATGTCTTGCAAATCACCCTGTCCCTGTTTATTTTAAGACAATGCATACAACCTACCAAACTTGTATAACATGGATGCTGGTGGTGGAGGAGGAAGAGACTTTAGGTGGCAACCACCATGTCTCAACCAGACGGCAGCCGGCCGCCGTCACTGCTACTTGAATGGGGTTTTAGTAATTGAGTTTTGTCTCAAAACCCTTTTCATTAATACCTTAAAACATGACATGAAAAAGTTAGTTTTCAACTTTAAGAGTCAATTAACTTAATTGCTGATGTGCCTTGAAGGCTAGTGAGATAAAGGGGAGAGAGTAATTTAAAATCTTGAATATCTACAAGCTTTATTAATAGCTCTTTCACAAATGCAAAAAAAAATATAATTACAATAAGAATTGTCAAGTCCCGTCAAAATTTACCCAACGCTATGATTCGGGGTGAACAAGAATTAGGGATCGAGTGCGGGCAAAATTCTCACTAATGATTGAGGTATTAGTCGATTCCCTTGCTATTTGTGGGATCGCTCCTATTAGTGCCTACTATTTGACTATTAAGATGGTGGAGAGCATCAATCTTGAAATTCAAATGATTGTTGAATTTTAAAAAGATTGAAATTAATTGTTTGAAATTAATGTGCTTTGATACCATATTGAGTTTAAATGTTTCACCTTAAAAGATCAAACTTATTAAAAGAAGTAATACAAATATTGTTATTATTTCCGTATTCAAATGATTATGGAATTTTAGATACATTTGTTAGTGTATGTTCATTTGATGTCATATAATTAACTTAAAATATAAATTTTTGCTTCAAATAAGCTATTTTCTTGAATTACGTTAGTTTTATTATTAACATTTGAGATAATTGTAGCAAAAACTTCAAACCTTTAAAATATTAGCAAATTTTTTTCAAATCTTTCAATCATTGCAACTGTCACTCCTAACATTTTGAATCGTTACATGTGAAGTCTTTTGGATGGTTTCCATCTAGTTTGCCATCAATTGACCCAAAAATTAGTTTTCACCACATTTTAATCAATTTCAAAGAGGCTAAAATGATACTCTCGTATTTATCACATTAAATAATTAAATAACAAAAGGAAAAGAGAGAGAGAGAGAGAGAGAGAGAGATTGATTGATTGATTAAATTAAGCCCACGTTTGCCCCCATTTTGTAGAAATGAAAATGGGTGGAATAGTGTTTTTTTTAAAAGTGAATGGTTGAAAAAAAGGAAAAAAATTTTGATATACCTGTAATATTATTTTATAGAATATTGTATGAAAAAGAGGAAAAAGTTTTTGATATACCTGTAATATTATTTTATAGAAAATTGTATGGTTAAAAATAAGAGAGAGAAAAATGAAATTGAATGGAATGAAAATTAATGGGGGGGCAAACGAGGGCTAAACCTGTTCTTCCCAAGTCCACCCTCACCCTACCCCCACCAATGGCTACTCTTTTCACCGCCATTTTCTATAAATTTCCTTAAATAATTCCGTCAAACGCATTCATGTGTTCAAATCAAGAGATAGGCTTCATTAAGATGCAATGGGATTTCACCATTTTTAGGATGACAAATTCTCTTGTGGCAATTAATGTTGAACATGGAACTGATAAAAAAGCATGTTATGTGTTGACACATTTGGCCGACCTACTGGAGCCCATGGCCCACTTCTGCCGAACCATGTGGCATATTATCCGAGGTCCCCAGGCCAACAAGAGTTGACCAGCATACTATAACAACGCCAGACGTGGCCCAAGTGCTGACGTCGAAGCTAATATGCCGAGGTGATCTTATAGCCAAGGCCCAATCTTCTCCAAGGTCCTGAGGCTCTAAGCAGCACTCCTCTCCAGAGATTCGGTCTTACACAAGGATCCTTCCTGATTGATTGATGGGATACCCATCATAGAGTGCAAATGTCTTATCTTATCAATGCAGTGGCAGAGCTGCCGAGTAATAACTGTATAGCAGGCTAGGAAGTCAAATGTGATACATATAATTTGATATGTAGACTTACGAGATGAGGACACTTGTACTCCCAACCAAAGGCCATGATCTAAGTTGTAATACTATAAATACTCCCCATGCATCTCTTACGGGGTAATGCAAAATTCAACACAAGAACAAATACAACAATCTTTATATTTTATTCTCTTGCAACATACATGCATTCTTCAAATATCAGTTGGTAATTATTGTACAATTGTTATGCAAACATCTCGTCGAATTCTGAACGTTCTCGTCCTGTGCCTTTGAGCTGCTTCCACGCCCCTTTTTTACTACCAATTCTAGACCGTCCACGTGTCTTAGCGTGTTGGACCAGACTTACGTGTGCGCGGGTGAGTCCGGTATTTGTTGGCAACATACTCTGGGGTCAACAGATTGGCGCCGTCTGTGGCAAACCATACTATAACCACAAACAACCGTGTGAAAAAAGCTTATCGAAAGAATATTTAGACATCCCTCCTGAAAAAGGTTTTGGTCTTGGGAAAGAACAAGTGGAAGCCCCATAACTTAGCAACAATTTGAAGTTGGAATAGAAGAGAATGAGTTCAGACGATGATGTACACCTTAGGAGGGGAAAAGAAAATGTGGGAATGCTCCCACCAACAGCTGTCCCTGCAGCTCGACATCGACCTCACCACCACCATAGAAGAGGTAGCATGCGAATAGCCGCTCAGTTGTCAAGAGAGATGGCCACCATGGTCGCAAACATGAGGGACATTACTAGCTAAGATATGGCCATGAGAGAACTCATAGCCCAAACACAGGGCCAGGGAAGCTTCTCTATTCCCCCCTATGCACCCCAAGGACATTACCAACAAAATGAGGAAGTCCAGAGCTAAAGGGTTGTATCACCAGGTTACAGCTGAGGCAGAAGTCCTATGGAGAGGAAAGTAGAAGTTGATATTTCCTCCAATTTTGCTGCAGGCCGACCCACCGAGGCCCGTTATAACCAGGACAACTTTCCACCAGCATATGAGTCAGGACAAAGACCTAGGTGGTCTAATAGCATCTTTGACAGAATTAGCCTAACAGAACCGAGGTACAGGCAACAGCAATGAGAACCTCGAAATAGACCACAGTCCCCACCTTCAATGACTCATCAGTCGGAGAAAAGGCACGAAAATGCCCCCGTACTGCTCCGCCTAGAAATAGGCGCCAAAGGAGGAAGTGGAGGCTAGGACTCAAGCTGGACCATCTCATCAACCACCCAGGTATGAGGCCGAAGAGAACAATGACTCAGATGAGTAGCAGAGGTCCTGTGACTTGGACAACGATGATGAAAATCTCCCATTTTCAAGGGAATTGAGAATTGCCAGGTTCCGAGCCACTATGTGATGCCCAAAATACCAAAGTAGAGAAAAACCTAAGCGCTTATAAAACTCATATGAGCCTTCGAGGTGCCATCCCAGCTGTAAAATGTAGAGCTTTTCATTTGACACTTAGTAGAGTGGCTGAAATCTGGTATAGTCAACTGCCACCTGGGAGCATAATAAGTTGGCCAGAGTTCAAGAACACTTTCTTAAAAAGGTTTGCAGTGAGCAAAGAGGGAGAAGCCCTTATCCAGCGCTTTCAAGACATGAGACAGGAGCATGGAAAATCCCTAAAAAGCTTTTTATCATGCTTTACCGATGAAATGACGTATTACGTGCAAGTCACCGATCGTGAGGCTTTATCAGTATATAAACACACTATTTTGGAGGGATATGCAAAACCAAGATCCCACAACTTATGACGCCCTGTTGGAAATGATGAGACAGGAGATTAACAATGAGGAGCTAATTGAATACAGGAATCGGGTCAGCAGAGGCCTCCCACCTCAACAGAGACAGCGCACCAAGGGACCGTTCTCCCACTTGATGGACTACCAGATGAACCCGCCTGGTAATGGAAATTCAGGGCAAGCACTTGTCACAACCACTTTGAACGCAGTCCCAACTTTGGCATATGAAGATGACAGTCCAACTACTACCAACCCGCAAGCAGGAACTTCACAATAGGCCCCCTGTAAAGGAAGAGGTCGGGGCACAGTTCAGGGCCTAGGAATAGGCCTAATCAGAACCCCCCCCCCGATTATTGTACGTACCACCGCTCCTACGATCATGACACGTCCAAGTGTCAGGAGTATGCATATCACAATCGGTGGGAACACCCTCAAGACGGGAAGAATGAGTCGCCACAGGTAAATAGGCCCCCGCCTAGGAATGACCGTCGACCTAGGGGTGAGGAGGTTGCTCCCCGCTAACGAGATGTATCTCCTCGCCGAAGGGAACATGACACGAGGAGACCCAGAGAAGGACACAGGCATCATGGAAACCAATACGCACAAGAAGAGGCCTCTATTCACGAGGTGGATACCATATTTGGAGGTCCCTACATGGGAGGTAAGACCCGGAACTACGCCCGAGAGGCTAAACGCCTCCCGCTAACCAATCATATTGTGGATAGCAACTCCCGAAGAAACCAAGTACCACTCATCGTCTTCACCCAAGAGGACTCTGAAGGGGTTCACTACCCCCATTGTGATGCACTTGTGGTAAGGGCTGTTGTGGCCCGAAATGGGCTCGAGCGAATGCTCGTAGACAATGGCAGCTCCATTAACATCCTGTTTGGGTCCACCTTTGATAAGATAATCCTGGACCATTAACTAATGCCCACGACCACTCCTCTATATGGATTTACCGGAGATAGTATTACTCCAAGAGGAAAGATAACGTTGGCGGTAGAGATGGGAAAGTCTCCCCAAACCACCACGAACTTCATGGAATTTTTCATTGTAGACAGTCGGTCAGCTTACCACGGAGTCTTGGGTAGACCAGCCCTGAAGGAGTTAGGAGCCGTCACCTCCATCCACCACTTATGCATAAAATTCCCAACTGAGAACGGGGTGATAACAGTGAGAGGTGACC